CTCAAAAATAAATAAACATTAAAAAAATAATAATAAAAAAAAATCAAGTCCAGGATGTGGTTTTACACCCTCCATGCATCTGGGTCTTTCCCAGAGGGGGGCGCCACCTGCAGTGAGGCAGTGAGAAACAATACTTCCTGAAATGTGTGGTCAGTTACCTGGTTTCCCCCGGGGTGAGCAGAGAGGCTCCCCGGAAGGCCCCCAAAGGGAGACAGGCTGTGGAGGAGACCCAGCCCTGACCCAGGAACCACACAGGCTCGGGGGTTTTGACTTGCAGCCTGCACCGGACCTCCTGAGTTTTAGCTTCTCCTGTGCATAGGTATCCTGAGACTTGCCCTACCTGTGTTGCAGGGTGATTGGGAAGATCAAATGGGTGCAACTGGTGCTTTGCAAGACTTCCAGAGGTGCTCCACATAGCGTCGTGGGAAGCAGGCTGGGGATGGGCTCGGATATGCACTCTTAAGGCCGTGGAATTGGGCAGCACTCCTTCATTCCTCTGGCCCTTCTCTGAAGGTGGAGATAATGACTGCAGGGAGGGTGGTAAGGCTCCGACAAGGTTGGGATGTGAAGAGCACCGTTCCCATAGATGCTCACCCTGCAACCCCAGCTTTGGACCGGTCCGTCTTGAAGGTCCCACTTAGCACCATGCCCTTAAGCGTAAGAGTGTCTTTGTGGAGGGGACGCAAGTAGAGGCTAGCAGTGCCGAGTCACTTCCTAGAAGTAGGAAGGCTTCCATCGGGAAAACAAGAGTCAAACCTGTTAAAAGTATCATGATAGCACAGCCGCCCGAGCTGCTGGGTCTGCCTCGCTGCCGCCCTCGGAAAACTTCCTCTGGCCCCGAAGTCCAGGAAAGAGCCTTCCACTTCCACCGGGACCAGCGCAGGCACTCCTAACTGCCTCCTGTCTCCATTCTCCTCCTTCCATTGCTGTCCTGCCGGGATCCTTGCAACACCGGACCCCCGCCCCATGCCCGCCCTGCCCTAAGGCCTTTGTGGCTTCTACCTGCTTATAATGTAAGTCCAGCACACTTCACCTGCTGGCCTGGGCCAGCTCCCAAGTTCTTCTCTGCGTTCCTCTGCTTCTCCTCCCGCCTTTCAAGGCCCTGGCTAAATCCCGCTCCCTCCAGGAAGCCTTTCCTGTATTCCTGAGTACAGTTGCTAGATTTAGCAGACAAAAAACACAAGATGTACAGTGAAGTTTGAATTTCAGATAGACACACTTATTCTAAAACATTATTTGTGATCTGAAATTCACGTTTACTGGGTGTCCTGTGTTTTGGGGTTGTTGTTGTTTTTATTATTTTTAATTTTTTTAACATTTATTTATTTTTTTTAATTTTTTTTTCAACGTTTATTTATTTTTGGGACAGAGAGAGACAGAGCATGAAGGGGGGAGGGGCAGAGAGAGAGGGAGTCACAGAATCTGAAGCAGGCTCCAGGCTCTGAGCCATCAGCCCAGAGCCTGACGCGGGGCTCGAACTCACGGACCGCGAGATCGTGACCTGGCTGAAGTCGGACGCTTAACCGACTGCGCCACCCAGGCGCCCCTACATTTATTTATTTTTGAGAGAAAGAGAGTGTGAGCAGGAGAGGGGCAGACAGAGAGGGGGAGACATAGAATCAGAAGCAGGCTCTAGGCTCTGAGCTGTCAGCACAGAGCCTGACGCAGGGCTCGAACTCATGAGCAGTGAGATCATGACCTGAGCTGAAGTCGGACGCTTAACCGACTGAGCCACACCGTCGCCCCTGTTGTTGTTGTTGTTGTTGTTTTTAATGTTTATTTATTTTTGAGAGAGAGAGAGAGAGAACAAGGGGGGAGGGGCAGAGAGAGATGGGAACAGAGGATCTGACGCCATGTCAGTGCTGACAACAGAGAGCCCGATTTGGGGCTTGAACTCATGAACTGTGAGATCATGGCCTAAGCCGAAGTCAGACAGTTGACCAACTGAGCCACTCAGGCACCTCTCAGTGTCCTGTGTTCCTGAATCAAACTTGATCATGCCCA